CACAATTTCATACTAAATTTAAAAACTATAATTAGTATTTATTCATATATTATATTTTAAAATCAAAGAACTACTAATCAGGATATAATTAAAGAAATAAGAGTTCATGTTGCTTTTAAAATATTTCACCAATTTCTCTAAAGGAAACACTATCTACAGATTTGCATCGAAGCGTTTCTTATGATAGTGATTTTAATCACTGTCAGATATCATCTATACTTATCTCATCTATGCCACGTCTATACTGTGCCTCGACCCCACTGTGCTACCGTTTTTTTATTTTATAAGCTAGTTATACATGTATGTTAACATTTAAAAAAATTAAATTAAGACTCTTAAAAGGTATAAATTTAAAAAAATATTATTATTTTACATATATTCCACATATTAATCGATAAATATATGTAACTAAATAACAATAAAAACAATTTTTTTAATATAGCTTTTATAAGAGATTTCGAGGGATTGGAGTGTCTATAAAAATAATCACTTAATATTTATCTACCTTAATTTATCATAAACCATTAGTAGATTATTATTTTTGAAAAGGGCAGACCCAATACGTATATTAAAAGTTACAAAAAGTCTAATAACTAACACATCATNTTCATTTAGAATACGTATATTAAAAGTTACAAAAAGTCTAATAACTAACACATCATTTATATAAATATTAATATTTTTAAGGAGAGTTCAATGGGATAATTACCCTCCCCCACTCTCTTAAGGATTATACATTTAACCTAAAATATAAAAAATTGATTGACAAGAAAAAATTTAATTTAAAAATTGGTAATTAAAAATTATATTACGTAAAATATGCTTTAATTGAACATATGTCTAAAGGATGCAGTATTTACAAAACTTTTTCAAAAGTTAAGTTTTTAGATTAACTTTTCATACAAAAGTAGCGTTTTTAAATCTTTCTCAATGGATTGGTGTAGGAACTCATTTTCAATAAATTTTACCTGAAAAAAGTGAATTACCTACGGTTTTGTTATCTTTTGACGTATCGTTGAAAGAAATCGGTTCGATTACAGTAGAGAAAAATTAGTGACAGCCACAAGAAAAAATAAAATAAATAAACACATCTTGGTAAATAAATACCTTCTCATCTTCGAATTGAAACTATAATAAGTTATACCATGAGAAATTAAGCAAAATTTTCTTAAAAAAAGAGAGGTCATTCAGTATTCTTATCAGATAAAAAATGTTTATAACAGATAAATAAAATTCTTGTGTAACTAACAAAAGCTAAAAAAAAAAATTTACAAAAAAAATTATTTTACGAGAAATTGAGTGGCTAGTTATAAAAAATATCACTCTGTATATATTACTACAGTTCGGTCCAGAAACACTATATAACTTTTAGTTATATTTTACATTTCTTTGCCAAACAGAATTTGAATCAATC